AAATAATGTCTGAGTTACGTGATGTGTTATCAAAAGGTTGCTTTATATCTATCAAGAAGCTTTAATTCTATGAGTCAAAAGTAGCCTTTACCTCAATGCCCATTTCCTACCAATACCTCCTCAATATCAAATGTACTTCCGTCTCTGCCGTGACAGGGAAAATATCAATGATGTAATGCAGCGTATATATTTGAGATTTCTATGACATCTGCGGAAGTCAAACCCTATTTTCCAGACAGACACAAAATTCATGTGGCTTTTAACTCAGTTTTAAGTAGATCCTGACCCAATATAAAAAATTGAGAACAGGTGACCAATATTCCCAAAGAATCATAAAAATTCAAAACATTTCTAAAGAACAAATACCTTCAAGAAAAGACTGGAAATCCTAAGTTGGGAGCTAACAAGTGAGTGTGTTTAAAATCACTTGGTCTGCATTCCATTCTTTAATCGATCTCTGTGAATCTTGATATCATCCACGTAGTCAAGCTTCTTTCTTACAATTTCCCAACAATTTTCAGTTATTTTTTGTGGTGCTTTCAGGAAATCAATAAAAATGTTTTTAGACTTTTGTGTCTAAAACACAAAACTTTTTTTTGTGTGTCTAAAACTTTTGTAGTGAAAGAAAGAAAAAAGCTTAATTGGTCCAGCTGTGTCTTGTTGTTTTCTTGTTCTTCTAAATATAAAAGAATAAGTCAAATCTGTGTTGAATGTAGAATCCATTGAAATATGACCAGCTGATGTTACTTTATCCTTCCTGCCAGTAATTTTTCAGAAATCCCTATCGTTTTTGTGAATTCACATTAATCAGAAAACTTCTTTCTGTGAAAATCAGTCATTGGTCGTTTGTTGCTTTTTTTTTTTTTAAGTAGAATGAATACGTATGACATAACCTTAAACATTTGACATCGATATTTTAAGTAATTCAAATCACATATTTCAACCTAAAAGCTCATGTTTTATATTCTGATGTTAAATGATTCTTGGAAGTCTTTATTATTGGGGAAATTATCTCAATTCTTAAAAATAATTAGGAGTTATCATTGTAAGCACATTTCCCTGACAATGTTTTCATAAGCCAATGGAGAGGTATTTTCAAGTTGGCATCCTTCTGTGCGTTGAATGTGGGGGAAAACTTGTGATGCGACACCCCGCCTTCTCTCCTCTGTAGCCCAGTGGCTGTAGCTCACGTCTCTGTGGCTCGGTGCCAACAGAAATGCCTATGGAAAGGAAAGCCTGCTCTGAACAGAGAGCTGACTGCTTTGTGAAAGATGAGAAGACAAAGCCTAATACAGTGAAACTTCTTTAGAACATTTTCCAGGGAACTGAACATTTTGAATGTTCTACGTGGGAAAACATGCGCTGGGAGAGCAGCACAATGACGCATTTCACTGCACTTCCACTTGCCAAACATTCCAGGGCACCCTGCACACGAGGCTAATAAACTGGCTTAAACAGGAGATGGTCATGAGCTCAGGAAAGCTTTCCTCCAGCCCCGTCTGTGGTTGCACAAAACGGTCAAAACAGAGGCCAGGTCTGTTCTCAAATACCACGCTCTGGAGGAGGGATAAGAATGTCCTATGGTTCCCGGGCCAGTTCAGGTGGCTTAGAGAAGGGCACAACAGTACCTTTATAGACACTACAAAAATCACTTGAAGAAGGAACAAACATCTCTGAGTGGAGGGAACTACACCAGTGTGGTAAGTATCCTCTTCTGTAAATGTTGGGAGATGGGGCCCTTTCACTTTTACTCTTTGTGCTCTTCTCTATTAAATGCTATTCCATTACGTGCTATCATATCATGGTTCTCATGTTTGAAAATCCCTCTTCTTGTACGTTGTAACTTACTTCAGATCATCACAGAAACTGGAAGACTGAGGACAAAAATCACAGAATACCAGGGAGCAGGGGAGACCACACTATGGTTTGAGCAGCCTTATGGAAACGTCTGGCTCCAGGCTCGCTTTGGTTTTCTTCAGAGTTTCTTCAGTGGGTGCAGGAAATTCTACTTACTGGGTTTGTCAGTAATCTAGAAGTATCTTGGTATTTTTCAGATTACCAAGTATCTGTTGTAATGTGACTTTGTGACACAACAGATAAAGAGATCAAGATAGATCACTGCTGGAGACTGTGTTTCCTAAGAATGGATGATAAGCATTAGCAGATAAAAAAAATGTAATCAATCAAGTAATGGAACAAGGCAGGAATGAGAGGAATGTTTTTCAATTTAAAATCTAGTGTAAGTTTTGCCCTTAACAAAATCAGAGAAAATGTAAAGAATCAGAGGGGATTTTTTTAAATCCACAATGAAGGAAGAAAAGTGCTCCTTAAATAGATGAGTAAATGGTTTCAGGCATAAATGTATTTATGTATAGATGTGTAGAGATTTTCGTCTCCTGTTAGGATTAAGTAATTTTTTTAGAGTAAATTTATTCAGGAGTTGATTAGTTTGTCAGTAATAACAACCTACTTTTTGTAGCTCTTTAAAAAATGACCTTAAAAATGCACAAGAATGGTATTTGTTTTAGAAAAACATGAATAATATATATTTTTTAAACTTTTCTGAATACTAGTGGTCAAACAGAACTGATAGAGTCACGGTCACTAAAGGGGAATTCTCCGAAAGGCCTCAGAAAAAACAGTAATGAAAGAAGGAGACAACCAAATACCCAAGTCTTAAAAAGTTCCAACTCTCTGTCCACCCACCCCACCCTTACCACGCCCACCCCACCTCCCCAGGGATATGAAAATCTCCCGGCAGGTGATGGACTGTGCCAGAGTCAGTGTTGATGCTTAAAGGTTGAAGCTGATTTGTAAACAACAAAAATTCAATAGATATCATCCCTGCTCTTAAAATACCTCTGCCACACTGCCACTGAGGGTTTCTCATTGGCCACTTGTGACAGAAAGCTCCTAAATGGTCTCCAGTGATCCCTACCTCCTGGTACGCATGCTCTTGTATAATGCTCTACCCTTCAATACGGGCTGGATTTAGTGACTTGTTTCTAGCAAACAGAATGTGGCAAAGGTGATGAGAGGATGTGCTAGATTAGGTTACAGGATAGCTGTTGCTTCTGTCTTGGGTGCGCTCTCTCACTTGCTCTCTCTGAAGAAAGGCAGCTGCCATGTTGTGGGCTGTGCTAGGGAGACAGCACAACAGCCCTCAAGGAATCAACAACCTTGTGTGTGAGTTTGGAATCAGATCCTCTCCCGCTGAGCCTTCACAGAAGACCTCGGCCTCAGCTGACACCTGGACAGCTGACACCTGGACCGCAATCTCATGAGAGACCTTGAGCCAGTGGCACCAACCTAAGCAGCACCCAGGGGCCTGACCCACAGAAAGTGTGAGAAAACAAATATCCGTTGTTTCTTTTGTTTTTTTTTTTCAGTCCACCTCCTCATTTCCTGCACTGTGCCCCCATCTCTCTCATTGTCAATTCCCACCTTCACATTTCTTTTACTTTTTTTTTTTTTT